AAATTTCGGGCGAAAATTCACTTTATGTGGGGAATATTCGAAACGAAAATTCGTTGCTATTGTTCATTCTTCTCAAAAAGATTTGGTTGGATTTGTGGTTTGTTACTGATCCATGTAAAACTCCCATAGAATTTCCCGCTACGATTTCAGTCTCCGCGCGACCCATGTCGTTTACAACCATGGCAACACTTAGGGTATTAATTGTGTCGATGCATTTGGGATCATTTACGTACTCTACTTTTCGTAGTCATCGTAGCAAAAGTTTCAAATTATTCTAGAAAAAAAATCAAGATCCTCCACAAGCAAGGCCTCCACCCAGCTGAAACATTAAAAAGCGTTGAATCGCTAAGGGTTACTAGTAAGCGTTTCGCGTATCATAAGAAAGTTGTGTCTCACCGATTCCGTGGCAAATTTACCTCAATCGGGAAGACCTAAAAAGCTGTCTATGGAAGCGAACAGTGTAAGTGGGAACAGTGCAAAAGAAGTATTGCCAAAAGGTGCCAGAATTTACGCAAAAATAGGGCAACGTGACCAAAATACTAGTTGTTTCAGCTTTCACTCAATAGTATTCAGTGTTTTGTTGGGAAATGTAAAGTATTTCACACCTTTTTTCACACTCTTTTATTAACGTCTGCTTGTGTAGGATGAAAACGAACAAAGGACGCTTAAATGCTAAAATACTGTAAGCTCTTTGAAGCTAGTGTTTTTTTTAAACATATAAATTGAGAAGAATAAATATTTCCAAACAAACATAGGTGTTGCGATATCTGGAAAGCATACTGCAATCAGCGATATAGGTACTGTCTATTTGCACAGGGATTGAGAACGAATAAACAAGGAACCCATTTCTCGATTGACCAACGTTTGAAAACACTCTAAACACGTTCTCTGCTCTCTCTCGTGAAAAGCGGAGTACTAAAGTTAATGTTAAAAACTATTCCAATCATTTGAGAGTTTATTTCCACCAAATACATGTCTCTTGGTCGGAATTGCTCTTCATCCCGATTTACTTTTGTTGTTGTAAACTGATCGAACACTGAATCGGATATAATGGTTTAGGCTTGAAATTAAGAGATCCTCGCAGCTAAGAACACTACTGAAACGAGTTGTTAAAAACAGGACCTGAAAAAATACAGGCCCGAACGGGATTCGAACCCATGACCTCTGCGATACCGGTGCAGCGCTCTACCAACTGAACTGACAAGCCAACTGAGAGCTGGATAATGTGTTGGGTCCAAATAAACCATCCAGGCGATGAATGATGATTTTAGATTTCAGCTCCAAAGAATGGCTCCTTGGTGTTAAAGTAGAATTATATTAACTTTTTTCTAGTGCATCGCAAGCGATCTTTCCGCTTTTTTTTCCTTTTTTTCAACGAGCCGAGAACTTAGCACTTGAAATCAAGCATGAATCTTCATCGTGGTCTTTTACAACACCTTAACGAGCTGGGATCGACTCATTGCTTATTGTTCATGTGTACTTTTGTCACCTCTATTAGAAAGGAGGTTCTAATTTGTATTTCTACAATGGACCCTACATGCTAAATTGAAATTATTAATATCATCGCAAAACAAATGACCCCAGATTTGAACGCCAATGTTAAGTCAGGGCGCCTCCTAATAATTCTCCAGCGCGGTCAGACTACAGTGAAACACTTAACTACCCAATATATAAAATGATTTATAGGTACAACTTTCCGTTTGGAGTCTTCCTTGCCATGATATACAAAGTAATCATCCATTTTGCACGTCAACTTAGGAAAGTATGGATCGGGAGACTTGCTGAGAAATTTATATATCTCAATTTAATGGGTTTTGTTTGCACAACTGTTTTTGAGCAATTTTGAATGGTTTTGACCCCGTAAAATCATCGCATATTACTTCCCTGGCCCCAAACACAGCATCGCGAAAACTATCTGTGCTAAAAAGGGTTCAACCGTTTGAAGAGAATAATAAGCTCAATTATGAATATAAGATCTATTATGTCGCGAACAGGTGACCATGAAGTTGTCACTGTAATTGGTATTCACAGAATACGCCCTGGTTTTTCGGACAACAAGTTGCTCTTTAAGCTTTTCCTCTTGGGTCAACTGAACGTCAGCTTCGATAACAGAATTCTTTCCATGCATGTCAACTCTGTGTACTTTTGAACATTTTTTTTTTGTTCTTTCACCACGTGTATTTTATCTTGCCCATCTATCAACATAAAAGCAATTAGCACAGAGTAGACGTTAAATATGAAAAGTAAGATGTGCCGAGGGAAAATATTGTGCCATTCACTAACTTTTCAAGTGGACAGTTCTAACATTACAGGATATTTGCAAAAAGTACAGTCATCCCATGGAAGTAAGATCAGCAGCCAGCTAACGCGGCCTTTTCACTGGGACGATAATTTAATGTTTTTAGTCAAGGGTATATTCGCATATCCAGCGGAATCGACGACCTTTCCGTACAGTTTAAATGCAACAAATCATTAGTGATAGCTACACAAAATTGAGGTTTAAAAATTAATGAAATGGAAAAAAAAAGAGAGAAAAAAGTGACAAGACATACGATCCTTAGCTGTTTGCGAACCTAAAAGCTCACAAAAGAACAGCATCTGCACTTCTCAAATTACGATTAAAGAAGACACTCAATATACCATGTGGGTCAGTGAAGCTAGTCTTCGGATGGGCCTGATTTGTTTCAGGTCCTATTTTCAACTACTCGTTTCAGTAGTGTTCGTAGCTGCGAGTATCTCTTGATTTCATTTCTTCACCGCAGTGTAAAGGCTAGTTAGGAACACTACTGAAACGAGTAGTTGAAAATAGGAGGTAATTTAGTGTTAACAACTGGGTTGAAAACGGTAATTAGCCACCGTAAAGGGTAAAAAAACCGACATTTCGAGCGTTAGCCCTTCGTCAGAGCGATTAGAGGAATTGTGGGTTGTGTGTGGATTTATATGCAGAAAGTGGGGCATTTTAGCAGTGGCCGGCAATTCTTGTTTAGCTATAAGATCGTTAATCGTATTTTTGACAATGTTTTGGTTAATTAAAGTGAGATCTTTGTCGACTTTAGCATAAAAGGAGGTGTCAGAAAGTTGCCGCAAAGCTTCTTTTTGGTAGAGGTCGGCCCGCCAAACAACAACTGCACCGCCTTTGTCGGCCGCCTTAATGAAGTTGTCTTTGCGTTTTTTTAGACTTTTTCGTGCCGACCACTCTTCCGAAGAAAAATTGGAAAATTACCACCGTGCCCAACAAATCGATGGACAGGCAGCACTACAAACGGCCGAGAATGAAAACACTGACCGCATTCCATTTACTCTTACATTTCACCCTCACGCAGTTAAATCTATCATTCTTAAAAATCTTAAATTACTCCAAAACGATTCAGAGACTGGCACTATCTTTTCGCAACCCCTACTTATTTCATTCAAATGTGACAAAAACATAGGCAACTTTTTAGTCAGGAGTTCATTTCAAACCAATGACCACTCTGGAACTTTTAAATGCGCTCGCTCACGATGCAAAACTTGTCCTTTCATTCACAACGTAGAGAAAATATCGGGACCTAAAAGATCCATTAAGATCATTGATCACTTTACGTGAACCCCCGCCAATGTTATTTACTGCATTACTTGCACTTATTGCAATAAGATATACATCGGCGAAACAGGAAGACGACTGGGTGACCGATTCCGAGAACACCTTCGCGATGTGGAAAGAAATGACAAGGACGCATCCAAACCAGTCGCTAGACACTTTAATCTTCCTAATCATTCTATACAGCATATGGTAGTTTGCGGCCTTTCCTTACATCTAGGCAGTTCGGAAAGCCGTAAAACACTAGAACAAAAATTTGTATTCCAAATCGGTACCCTTAATCCCCACGGAATCAAGGAGCGCTTTTCATTCAACTAATTTATTCCTGTTTTCTCGTCACCATATTCCCACCAATGGCGTAGCCCCACTTTCTGCATATAGATCCACACACAACCCACAATTCCTCTAATCGCTCTGACGAAGGGCTAACGCTCGAAACGTCGGCTTTTTTACCCTTTACGGTGGCTAATTTACGTTTTCAACCCAGTTGTTAACGCTAATTACCTCCTATTTTCAACTACTCGTTTCAGTAGTGTTCCTAGCTGCGAGGATCTCTTAATTTCATTTCTTCACCGCTATGCAAACATATGAATTTCATATCTCTAAAATCATCATGGCTTAGGCTTGTTTAAACATCAGGAAGCTGGAGTTGATGTGTAAAATATCTGGATTCGTCAGGGAGATAATTTCAGCTAAGTACATGTATCATGGTCGGAATTACCGTAAGACGCGAACGCTCGCTACAATTTGCCCGATTTCGTTGTCATCCACAGATCGAGCCCAGAGTCCGTCGGACGTGATAACTTTTTGATGTTTAGTCCTTTTGTCTACTGTATTTAGTCTCAATTATTAAATGTCTCTGTCTGTCCAAAAGGTTGGAAATACGTTTAAAAATATTTTTTGTTGAATACATGAATAATAAACAAACTTGATCACTCGTGGAAGGCTATTGTCAGTTTGAAGCGAAGTTTCTAACACTAATGATCGAAAGACACTTTCCGGCGCAGAATTTTCGCGTCGTGGCGAAAATTCAACGAAAAAGCTTTCTCTGTTCAAACGAAATATCGCCTAACAGGCTTCGAACTTTCAACGAAAGATCGTCAGAACAAATAACCTAATGCGCCGAATTCCGTTTGCATTACTTTTGCACAATACTGTAATTAAGTAAGAATTCTACAAAGCGAAGCACAGACGATTACAAAATCGATGTCAGAACTTCTGCCGAGGAATTTGAAGCCCCATAGTCGTACTCCTCCGCTGACCCAAGCTGTCCAGAGATTGCCGTCTTTCCGAAGATACGTGCCTTTAATACAAGCCCTCAAAAGAAGCGAAACAGGAATGAGATAATTTCCAATTTAATTAAGAACAATAGAGAATTGCCGTGTACGTGTTTACCTACTCTCATAATAACACCCGAAACATGGCCGAGGGTTTGTATATCCCTTTTCTTGTAACACTTTCTGCAAGATAGAAATAAAATAGACGAAGAAAAAATTCAAGTCTAACACAACCGATAATAAAATATCACCTACCAAGTTATCCGTTATTCTTAACATATCATCATAAGCAATAACGTTACATTTGATGTATTATTATTTCCACTTGAAAGATGTCTACATCACAGACCAATGTCGTAATTTGGAGTTTGGACCTGAGAAGGCGTTTGAAGGGAAACGCCTCGTAAACCACACAATTCGCACCGTAGAAATAACAGTTTCCAGGTTCTGTGAAAACTTGTGTTACATGGAGCCCTACTGCGTCAGCGTTAATCTTTATACACGGGCAGATGGAAAAGGAAACTATAAATGTGAACTGAACAATGCTACTCATGAAGGACACGAAGAAAAGTTGATAGACCAAAAAATGTTTTCTTATCACGCAGCTGAGGTAAATGTAACTTTCAATTTAAGAGTCAGATTGGTTTACTTTGTTGATTTTTTTAAAACTCTTAATTTCATGTTCACCTTTACTTGCGAACTCTAGTTGTTTTCTCTCTTTTAAGATACTAGCGGTAATATTGTGTCTGTGCTCTTCATCAAAATTTCCTAAAAGACAACACATTTTAAAGTTATTGGAGAAATATAGTAATAGAAGGACAACTATGATATAAGGATAACTATGGCAATATTGATGATGGTGGCGGTGCAGTTGACGGTTGATGATAAAAATGATTATCATGATGATAATAACAATGACAATGACAACGGTTTGTTTCTTCTGTCAGAGCAATTGTGTTCAAAATCCATGTAACAACAATGCTACTTGTCAAAGTGGATTTACTACGAAAGGTTATCGGTGTCTGTGTATCGCTGGATTTGAGGGTCCACTTTGCGAAAGAGGTAAACACGACTTTTATTTTTATATCTTGAGACGTTCAGTTTAACAAAGACGAGGAAAAACTTTACTGCTGCTTGCTAAATGGGTCGCAATAAGGAATAATTCAGCTTTTTCCGTCCTTGTGTTACGTAAACCGCTCTTACTAGCCAGTAAAACCGAAGCGCAACAGGCCTTTGTTGCGGTCTCTTCACCTTCACAACTCAAAGGCGAATTTTTGGTTTTTTGTCATTTCTTCTCGTCATCTTCCTTCTCCTGATTCGTCTTCACATATCTTCTGCTGAGCTGCACTGAAAGTGGACAGAATCAACAGTAAAATAGAGTAACCACAAGCAAAAAGATAATTGGCTAACTGCAGAGCTTTCCGGATTAAAAGAAAAAAAGAGATATCACTTTCTTGAAGCTCATCAGTACTGCTTGTGATTTACAAGGTAACTGTGGTGATCATGATAAAAAAAAGACTACGTTTACCATGCTAAGAACAGTATGTAAAGAAAGCCTACATTTATTGTCTTTTTTTTTTTACAGTTTTTGGTTCTTCCATGTCTTTTTCTTTTTTGTACGATAATGTGTTTTCATTTATTGGTGTATTTTTTTCTTATTCAGAAATTAATGAATGTGTTCGTGGACTACACAAATGCAGCTCTGATGCGTTTTGCAACAATACTAAAGGTTCATATAATTGCACATGCAAACATGGATTCACGGGAAATGGACGAGAATGTAGAGGTAGACATTGGATTCAATAGTAATTATGTGATGAAAAAATGAAGCTTACATCTGTAAATTATCAACAAAGGAATCGTAACTTACATCTCGATTCTCTCAGCAGAAAAATACATAGTGAAACTGAACGCAGGCAGAGATACATGTAGACAAAATCACCTTGAAAAAAATTACTCTTGATAATGAAAGGTTTTTCGCACCAAATGGAATCAATCTACTGATCACTGTTTCTTAGTTTCATTCATCTTTTGTTGCACAGACTGTCTTATGGTTACAGAAATCTATTTTGATATTCTTAACAACAAGTATCAATGCTGTACAAATCAAATACGAATATCAAGTAATGCTGCTAACCTTTTAAATTATTTATGTGTTTCTGTCAATTGTTTGTCGGCTTTATATCTACAGACATCGACGAGTGTGTCGCAAGGTCACACTCTTGCAGCCCTGATGCCTATTGCAACAATACAAAGGGGTCTTTCAACTGTACATGTAAACCTGGATTCACTGGGAGTGGAAGAGAATGCAAGGGTGAGCGTTACTTTTGGGAATATTGAGCAAAGGAGGATTTTCTAATTTCGAACTTTCTTATAAAATGTGTGAAATGCCAGTACAGTGTTGCTACACCCACGGGCAGAAAAGATACAAACCAAAAACTTTGCCTTTTGGCTAAAAAACCAAATAGTACAGAATAAACACTTATGCGTCTTGTATCCGAATATGTTGCTATTTTCTTAATTGTTAATTTATTTGTCTGTTTTTTTTTTCCATTATTTTTATTACTTATTTTTAAGATATCAACGAGTGTCTTAGCACGCTACACACCTGCAGTCCTCACGCATTTTGCAATAACACCAAAGGGTCATACAGCTGCACATGTAAACATGGACTCGCTGGAAATGGACGAGAATGTGAAGGTAAACGTTGGGGTCGAAATATAGAGGAAATCGGCTGATGAAAAACACTAGTTGAGAATTTACAGGTATTACAAAGTAAACACTGCAACGCAATTTTCAGAATCTTACTACCTTTATCATACTATTTAAGGCTACCAAAGGTGCAGGAAACCACTACTTTTAAACATTAAACTAATTATGAAAAATCTGATTGGTTGAGAGCAGTCAATCAATATACTATAGCGTGTAGAGTTGACATGATAACACAATATCCGCAGCGGGTATAGCAGTTATCGTTTCGAGTTCACGTTCTACTTAATTTCAAAGCCCCTCTGGCTAAATAAAAAATAAGACTGTTTTATAAAGATAACAACAATCGATGCCCTCCCGACGTCGCTTTTTATCAATGGTGTATTTGAAGGAAACGTACGTGCTGCCGAACAAAGTGAAAGAAAACTGAGAACTGTTTTCAGCCACAAAGCAGAGCCTGGAACATGACAAAATTATTCGGTCAGTCAGTCAGACTGGGCTCAATATAAAGGGGTAAGTTTCTAAAGAAACTGTGGTGCTGCGTCGGTGGGAGAGTATAACAGGTAATTTAGTGTTAACAACTGGGTTGAAAACGTAAATTAGCCACCGTAAAGAGTAAAAAAGCTGACGTTTCGAGCGTTAGCCCTTCGTCAGAGCAATCGCAATCGCTCTGACGAAGGGCTAACGCTCGAAACGTCAGCTTTTTTACTCTTTACGGTGGCTAATTTACGTTTTCAACCCAGTTGTTAACACTAAATTACCTGTTGGGCTCAATATAGTTTCCCAATGATGGATTAAGATATAGCTAAAATAAATTTACAATTCCCTCTAATCAAAGATATTTTTAAACTTCTTCCAGGAGCTAACTCGTGTAAAGAAATTAATGACGTGTAAGTAAAAATGATACTCGATATTATTTTCATAGTACATCAAATATTTCGCATGCCTACAATTTGGCTCGCCACCGAGCTACAAAAATTTTTAAACCATATTCTATACGCGAAGTAGTCCTCCTTTAAATCTTGACTCATTTTGGTGGAGTTATTACTGCCCTCAAAGAAGAAGTGAAAAATGCCCTTTGTCATCGGACACCTGTTTACTTGCAGGACAAATAACCGAGCATTGTTGCTACGAAGGCTGTTGTTTATATTACGGAGTTATCAACGTATTTTCCTGAGGGATCAACTTTTCATTTGTGTATTTGTTGGATAATTATCGTTATCACTCAGTATCTTCGCCATTTTCATCGTAGTTATGATATTTATTTAATAAGCTTTAGTTTTATTTCACTACCATTGTCTACTTCATTTCTTGTTTCCTTTTTTTTCCTTTTTTATTCAAACGATCAAGTATGAGTGGTGTGGTTACCCTTCTTGTTGACTCGAAACCATTGTCCGTTTTTTGTCACATGGGAAATTTTGGGTGTGGAGTTGGAGGATGGACGCCAGTCATGAAGATTAACGGAAATGAGGTGCATACTGTTAATGAATGATTTATTTCGTATATAGACCCGCTCTCTTTCAAAACGTTGCAAATTGCAAACGTGCATGTCACATATGTATGACTTTTGTTTTACAGATGTAAATTAGCAAAAGTCTAAACATAATCGCAAAACTGAAAAAATATTTAACAGTTCAATCTCTTCTAAGTGTATACTGTGCACTTGTACATCCTTATTTAACATAGGGCTGCATATGGTGGGGTAATAATTACGAAGTTCTATTGTCTCAGTTGGTAAAGCTACAAAACAAAGCTATAAGAATCATCAACAACGTACCAATACGTGACCATGTTACTCCCCATTATGTAAGCCTCGGCCTAATTAAGCTTCCTGACATAATTTAATTGAGTACGTGTCAACTATTCTACAGTTATATTGCAGACAAAAATCTTCTAATTTTACCCTTTCTTTTGCATATGAGATCCATGATTATGCCATTAGAAGTACATCTTCTCAACACCTGAACCCCAGCCTCTTCAGAATAAATAAATTCTTTCCAACAGTTATAGGGTGCTACTATTCGAATGATATTCCTATATCTATACGAGAGAAGCCCACTTAAAACCTTTTTAAAAGAGCACTTTTCTCACATTACCTTTCCCAGTACTGATTAATGTCTTCCTCTGACCATGCTTTATTTAAAAATTTGTTGTTCAAGGTGTGATTCCTATTTCCTCTCTTATATATTGTATCTTACATTTGTATCTTATATCTTACCTCTTATTGTATCGCTTCTTTTTACTGTATGAAAAAATGTAATTTAAGGTAAAGAGTATCTAATTAGCTCGCTATATTGTGCCCTTCTCCACCCTCTTATCTTACTTGTAATTATTCATTAGACTCTTATCTGTTGAAATGGAGGAAAAAAATAAATATTTATACTACTACTAACAGCTAGATATATGCAGATACACAACAGGAGGCAGAGAGCAAATATCCATCAATTCAGAGAAAACACAAAAATGTATTGCTACTACATTTCAGACCACCTTCCATTATGACTCGCAGTATTGGAGCAATTACGATGAATACAACCGCCTCGGTGGAGAGACTGGGTTTGACAAACAGGAAACAAAGCTACCCACCTACTGGAACACCCCCTTCTCCAAAATATGTCTCGGAATGAAGATCGGCCAACAGCTCGGGTTCATTGTCATCAACAAGCGAGCTGACTCTCTGCACTCACTGATTGCCGATGGCCGATACCGCGCCACCTTACTGGGTCGTGAGAAGTGGAAAGAGTTGACTGGTTCCCAAGGCTCATTACAGTACAACTGCAACAAAGAAGGGTTCAATGTCGTTTGTACTAAGAAAAAACATTCTAAAGCCAGAATTGGTATTGTTAGCAACGGCGGGAAAAAGTGTGACTCGTGTGACTCAAGAATCGGATTTGGCACGGGAGGGAGCCCTGACAATTCAAACACGTGCGGTAACGAGGCCGGTGTTTCTCCAGATAATGGATACAAACACATCAAAGCCATGGGATACATCTTGGTACAATAAATATGGCTCAGTTTTCGCAAAAAAACACTTATAACAAGCCCAATAGTCATTATACAGATTTTTCCTGTTTCCTCGGATAGGGACTTATATCCGTGTATAACTTTGGTTTTACCCTAGATCAATCTCTAGCCATTCTTTCTACTAAGTCTAGAAAGGTAAATTTGAGATACCAAGTTGAACATTCCTTCATGTAAAACGGCATATCAAACAGCATTCAAATATTCTGATAACAAAGGTGTCCAACTCGCTTACTTTATCGTAGAAATTATTATTGGCCAGTAATGTTTTCCATTATTATCCTAAAATTTCAGACGGTGTATCCTTTGAGGAAGAGATGGACGGGTCAAAATCTCTCCCACTGCATTTGGATTGTTATGTGTATCACTATAAACTTTAAAGGAAATGAACAGCAATGCTTTCTGGCCTAAATGAAATTGAAACGATACTTCAATAAAATAGACTAGTTTGTTGCAGTTTTATCTTTCGTTGTCTCCTGTGAAATGTAGTTGCACAGTTCTGGACTTATCAGCTCATCTAAGATCGGGCGGGGCACTTATTTGCTAACTACCTTGGACAAGCTGCTTATATGTAACAATCTTCCGTAACTAATCTTGTTTCTCCACCACAACGCCCGTTTTACATAGCTGCCCTCTTTTCTAAGCTCTTTCCTCTCCCACTTTTTTTACCCTTTCGTTGCAACTCTTCCACTGATTCTCAGAGCCTTATCTCCCGTTGCTGGTCACCATTTTCCCTTCCCTCACGGTCAGACTCTCTCTTAAAATGATATTCTTTGAAATGAAAGCCACATGCAATTCTCTTTTTATCGCTTTTCACTTTTTTCACTTTAGTTTTCTCCCGGAGACATAAACATTTCAAACTAAATTTTTGATACTGCACCTGTCTGACTAATAAATGGTGCTTTGGGATCACTAAAATGAGAGAAAAAATCGCTGCAAATTGTCATATTATTTTGTTTTTGCTGATAACTTTTTTTGACGCCCAGCCTCAGTACGAGGTCAGCACACATATTCCACTTTTGACTTAGACGGGTGATTTTCCTCTTGCCCTGACTTTTCTCTAACTAAAAAACCTGCACTGCTCTCTGAACCAATTATGTGCCATCTATTTCGGCCCCTAGGAAGTTTGCTTGTGGTAGCTTTGAAATCTCGATTGGCTCCATCCGATGTTTTCTTATATTCCAATAGGCTGTTGTAATTTCTTTTGTTTTGGTTTTCGACATCCCTCCCATCCACTGAAAAGCTCAAAGCCTTACCTTTCCTATTCTCAGAATCCATTGTCCTCTAAAAGAATTAAACAATTGAAAATGAAAAAACAAACACTTATTAAACCCTTGACTCCTAATAGAGACAAGCACCTAATTTCTCTTACCTTATCACCCCTAGATCAGACATTAAGGTCACTCAAATCAAGGAATTGATCACCGACTAAATCTCTCAGTGGACTGTTAAACTAATTCTCCTCCTCTGCTCCTCAGAAAACATAAAGGACGGTGTGGAAAAAATACATCCTGATTTTAGAGCAGATAGGGTTAACCTTGCAATGGATTGGCATCCCACCCAACGGGAGTTGGAGGCAGAGCACAGGAAAACTCTAAGGGCCCTCGTGTAAATAACAGGCCCTTAGTTGCTCGACAACAATAAAAGCTAGATAAGCTCTGGCAGGAACAACACTTTTACTTATGAGCTGATGTTACCTTTCACATGATTTCTATTTCTCAGCCGGTTTATGTTATGAGAGCAGTCACAATGGTCCTAAATACTGTTTTTTCAGCTGCTTAATGTGTATAAATTGAATTAACCTGGAAGCTAGGGAAAAATCCCAAAGAAAATTTAGCACATAACAGCCTGAAAAATGTTTAACATCAATTTTAGCTAAAAAAAATTAGAAATAAACCTATTAAGGAAAATGCTTACAAGAAATGCAAACATGGAAATATACATGGAAAACATTTCACCCAAACTTTTTACAAGGAGAGAAATGTTGCATTTAGTTATTTTAACTTATAATATCTCATACACCTGTATCATTATCTCTTAAAAGTATAATAACTATGGTAGAGCAAAATTAGTCTATAGCCTCCTCCAACATTCAGGTATAGAATTTTTAAAACTTTCTAAGAACCTACTATTGTAGGTCCCATGTACCCTGTCACTCCCTGGATCGCAGTGTATTTTCTCCCCACCCTTTGCTATACATTTCTTTCAATGTTAGTTCTGAGAAGGTGGTAGTAAATTAAAGATCGCTTTATCATAAGGTTGATACTTTTCTTTACTCTCATCACCTGTTGGTTTATAAATTTATTGATTCTGTTAAGAGAACCTACTCATTTGTTCTCTTTAAGAGAGCATAGGTGAAGAGGATAATGTGGGATTTTCTAGCATCCAAATTAAACCAGCATTACACCGGTTTTACTTTGCTTCATTAAGTGAATGGTCTACAAAACTCTAGACACCCTCTCAATCAATCAAATGCAGTAGCTTAAAACCAATCAAGACTTGATGGTGAACATTTTCCTGCATATCAGACAGTTTGCATGTGTTCAATTTGAGAGTCCATTGCCTTTTTGGGTTATTGTTCTTAGGTCTGACAGGCCCCTGTGATAACCTTTTTGGTTGGTTTTTATGTCTTTTAAGTAGAAAGCCCTCAAAAGACTCTAGTTTTGGTTTAAAAGACTTCAAGCAAAGGATGCCATGGACTTAAATCGAACTTGATCTCACAGCCATTGATGATACTCTCCATCTCCATGCAAGGCCATGAAGTAGTAATTTTCATGTAAACCTCATAATGTTGCAGTTTTAATAAAAATTTGATCATAAAGGGCCAATAAGCTGGAAGTTTATCATGGCTGGCATCTCACTGAAAACAAATTGACCTTAAAGCTGTCCTTTTTTAGCAGCACACTGGTCAAAAACTCTGACTGGGTGATCCTAACCTCTTAAAGCCACAGGTCTACTTTCTGAACAGTTGCAGACACCCACACCACAGGCTCTGTAATGATGTTTGCTATCACTTCCCTTGAATTCAGTTTGGCAACAGTTACAGGCTAAAATTTGAGAGTCTGGTACCCAGTATCCTGGCCTTGCTGCTTTAAAGATGAACCCCTTCGGGTAAACAATGGCTTTTTTAAACACCCACAGCAGACGGAACAACTTCTGTTACTTTTCTGGCAGCCACTGATCCAAAAGGGTTTTCAGAATACAGACTGTGGTCATTTTGAGGGTGCACAATTTCTTGAGGAACTTCCTCTTCAAGAGCATGGGATAAATCACTGTTCAAACGAGCACAAAATATGTATCTAATATCGAAGAGGAATCAAAACCAAACTTAATCCTTTAACTCACGATGTAATCGTTAATTCTTCCCTTTAGCTGCTACACAATTCTCTCTAAATTAATTACAAGAGTTTGGTGTTGGATCAAGATAAAAACTTATACCTGATATCTTTGTGTACTCTCATTACCTGTTTGCTTGATAACGTATGGATATCATAGATAGAAGTTACATGTTAATCACTTCAGGGAGTTAAAGTTCTGGATTAGTGTTTTACTGTTAATTCATTTCAGAAGACAACCTTACTTTAAGTCTCATGTGGGTTGAGGCTGAGCCTCCACAGTTGGCGGTTTTGCAAAACAGCAGTCACACACTCTCACTGGTTCCTCACCCCAGCCTCGTTCTGGTACGGGTTTCTTATTGGTTGAACATGCCTCACAGACCCCACCTCCACATGCACGACAGTGGTGCTTAGTCTTTCCATCGCTGAATATTTGACGGCATACCTGACAAGCCTAAAAGATATTAAGTTAAGACATTTTTTTAACTAATTTGGGTTTTAAATTTGTCTCAACCAAAATTTGGTAAAAAATGACGCAATCTTGAAATTTTTAATAGCTGTTATCTTTCCTGGTTTTGGTTGATTAAAAAACAAGAATTTTTAGGAGTCTACAAGTACAAAGCACAGTTGAGAAAAACTACACGACTGCAGCTAACACTGCCCTGCATTTTCAGTGTAGTGCAGATGATGACATTTAATCTGCTGTGATACTGCCAATTGAGAGGCTTTGCACGTATGAATAGAGGGGGTAAATTTCACATAAAAGGAGCTGTGGAACTGCGTCAATGGAGGGTATTACAAGATAATTTAGCCTAATCAACTGAGCTGCTAAGGTAAATTGGCCACTGTAAAGGTTTCATAAGCTGTGTAGATCACAAAAGTCTTTTTCTTTAGTCTATTATTTTTATACAACGACACTGATTACAGTAAAAATTTTTGCGTGCGCTATGCAATGTAACGTTGCGTAACGTAGCATGTATTTAGAACGTACTGTTCATTGAGACTGTTAGTTTTACTCAATAATTCCGCTTCCGATCATATTTCATATTATATTTCTTGCAATCATATTTTATCGTATGGCACTAAGTGCAGCCTCTTCGCCGTTTGGCAGTAACTCAGCTCTATTTCTTCAGTCTCGCAACAAATGTAAGTTTTGGTACTTTGTAGGCTTCATCATTATTTTCGTTGTAATTTTCCTAACTGTATTAAGTTTTAGCGTATTTAGTTTAATTTAAATTGTAATAGGTTTTCCCTCGTTATTTAGTCAACAGTTTTAACCGATCCTACCAACTGGTATCAGAGATTGTTGAAATTGAATGTATCATAAAGATGCCTTAAAAAATGTCTGTATTTATTGCTGAAAGTCGCCCATGGAAGCCACAAGCTGTCATATTGAGCCTTAGAATTCATCGTGTATGACCATAGTGTACAGAAAGTTCACTGGAAACTGAGCCAAATTTTGTCTTATTTACTATTATTTCAGAATTTGAGACCCAATAATCTTGGACCACTCTGTCTATGATCCAGTTGGTCACTGCCTGACTGGAAGGAGTATTGAAGACTGCTAACTGCATCATCGACATAGTTAATATGATCCAAAACCGTCTGGTTCCATGGCCACCATCCAGCTTAGCATACATTTGCTAAATGCAAAAAGCGTGTTGCAATAAAAGATGCAAAAGAATTTTTTCTTTATAAAATAGCTGGAACTTGCTGGTCAAAACTTTTCATTTAATACACCTGTCATCCTAAACACCCTTATAAAATTGAAATTTGTTTTAACTTTATTTTATTAAAAGAAAGACCGCACTTTTTATTGCTTTACTGCCGTAATAACCCTATTGGGATGTTGTGAACACTAGGAAAGTTTAAAAATCGCTTGCCTCCAGCTCGTGATTAACAATTTTTCATGTGTTCTCCCAACATTCTGCATGGTTATTATAATGATGGTAAACCAATAGAAAGTGTGGTATAATGCTAAAACAGAACACAGGAATCTGTTTCTCCAAGCAATGTCACAGATTATAATGAATTATTTGGAAAAATTGGCTTAATT